GTGCTCTAGCCATGGGCTTCGAGCAAGGTTCCGTTGAGCCACACTTGGTATCCAAGTAGGTAGTGCCACCCATACTTGGATTGGGAGCATCGGCCAGTCGATCTCCTAGGGGAACTAGAGCCGGCTCTTGAACACTTCACCAACCTACCCCACTTGTCGGTCTGTGTTCACTCTAGTCTTGGACTTCCCAATGGGCAACTCATCACCCAACATTGGGTACAGCCTTCCTGGGCCAAACTAGCCTTTCCTGGCCAAATTGGCTCCACTGCAATCCTCCCCCTTATTATACTTTTGGAGCTCACCAAACCCCTTAGGGTCTGGGAGACGAATGCTTTGGACTTTCACCTTCTCAGACTCAAACTCGGACTCGGACTCAGACTCGGGCTCGGACTCGGCCTCGGTCTCAGCCTCGGCCTCGGTCTCGGTCTAGGTCTCGGTCTGGGTCTCGGTCTAGGTCTCGGTCTCGGTCCCGGTCTCGGTCTCGACCTTGGACTCCATCTCGGGTCCTTCTTGGACTCCATCTTGGATTCCATCTCGGGTCCATCTCGGACTCCATCTTGGACTTTGTCTCGGTCCATCTCGGACTCCATCTCAGGTCCATCTCGGGTCCATCTCGGACTCCATCTCGAACTTCATCTCAGACTTCATCTCGGACTTTGTCTCAGTCCACCTCGAACTCCATCTCGGACTCCATTTCGGACTCCGTCTCGGTCCATCTCGGACTCCATTTCGGACTCTATCTCGGTCCATCTCGGACTCCTCAATGTGTCATGTGTTGGTCCTTTTGGGTCCCTTTTTAGAGCATCGCTTATTGCTCGCTTCGTGCTCATTCCTCGAGCACTTTGTTAGGAGTTCCACTCCCGCTCTCGACTTTTCAAGGCGGAGCTTTTAGTCCAAACGTGTTACGTTCGTTCGACTTTCGCTTCAGCCACTACCACGTGGCACCCTTCCAGCTCCACTTTGGGGCGTAGGGATTTTGTGTCTCACAGGTAGTAGTAATTTTCAAAAGAGTGCCTTACGCAGTCATGTTAGCTTTGAAGATCACAAGGAGTTTATATTTGCTAAGGAGGTGCATTGTGGGAAGTAGCAATTGATTTCAGAAGCTACAATTAAACATCTACACCATGTTGAATAAGGAGTGTTTGTATTATTTCATATTGCAAAAGGTTTTGCTCTATTCACTTGTTTTCTAGGGCTGATTGAACTACATCGATTTAATGGGATGAACATTCAAAGATATTACGACAGTGACAAAGGTTGTTCACGACTGATAACTTTTATTAACGAGGTATGTTTAAGAGACCATGTTAATTTGATTCTAACATGGTTCATGTTTCACTTCAGGTTATGGCTAAAAATATCTTACAAAAAGTCAGAGGAAGATCCTTATTTTGGATTAATGGTGGATGAATCGACTGATATAAGGTATTCCTTAATTTGGATTTATTAGTTTTCTTGCGATTCAATTTATTTTCAGCATTCTAAAGCATTTGATCTTTTATGTGACTTACATTGAATGTGGTTGTGTGAAGACTCATACAAGTTGTGGTTGCATGAAGACTCATTCATGTGGTTGTATGAAGACTTAGATATGCAACGGTTTATGGGTTTTGGTTCAAATAGATGTAATGTCATGGCTGGTAGCAAGACAAGGGTAGCAACCAGGCTAAAGGAAATTAATCCCTTCTTAAGCAGTGTTCACTATATGGCACATCAAGCCAATTTATATGTCGAAGATGCTTATGGGGATGGAGAATGTGCTACACAATGCATGGAGATTGATAAACTAGTGAACAAGATAGCAACTTCAGCAAAAGCTCAAAAAGGTTGGCTCAACTGATAGAAATTGAGATGGAACATGATTATACCAAGCTTAAGCTGCAGCGCATACAGGATATGAGGTGGCTAAGTCGTGGAGGGGCTTTGTTTAAGCTTTACGAATGTTTGGAGCCAGTAGCTGAACTTTTCAAACGAAGTAGCAAGCTGCAGCTTTACAACAAGTTGAGAACTCTCAAGAACATGTACGTCTTGCATTTTCTAGCTGATATTTTACAGGTGATAAGTAGTCTCAATCAAAAATTCCAAGAGAAGCTAATCGACATCACCATGGTTGGACCCTTGTGCCAAGAGACTATTGTGAAGCTAAACCAATATTACATCAATGATGAGATTGATTTGAATGGTAATCCCATGGATAGCAGATCATATATCCATGCATCCCTGATAGTGGTAGTAAGGATGGCTTTTTCCATGCTTTGAGAGCTTCAATTAAAAGAGATATTTACAGAATTATGCAATTAATCTAGTCAGAAGATGGAAGTGATCTTCAAGAAGCTATGTAGTTCCATATCTCCTTTACTTCTACTCTCATTTCAACTATTAGACAACGACTGCAAGACATAGGGATACTCTCCAAGATGTAGGTCCTAGCTCCAGTTAATTTGCCAATCCTTGTCAAGGAAAATAACTGGTTTGGGATTATAGAGGCAAGGGAGCTTGTAAAATTTTATGGAAGGCATTTAGAGGTGGATGGAGTTTTTGTTAAAGGCATTATGGACCCTTTAGCCTTCATGGAAGAATATTCAACTTAGAAGCTACTTGCCTCAGAAAAATGGAAAGGACAAAATTTTATTGATATGTGGAGCATCATACATAGTCCAAAGAGCTTTCCAAACTTGCTTTGAGTTGGTGAAATTGGGATGGTGCAATGTGTTAGCACTGCAAATTGCGAGCAAGCTTTCAGTAGAATAAACTTGATTAAAAACAAGTAAAACAATTGATACTCTTATAAGGATTTCAGTTGAAGGTTCTGAAATTCAGAAGTTTAACTTTGATGAAGTTGTGGACCAATCTACAAATTTTCTCACAATTATAAGCTTGTTTAACCTTATGTTTTTATTAATAAAAGGATTTTTACCTGAGAAAATTTTGATTATATCCTGGGAATTTTCAAAAATCTTTGGAGGTTGAACTCGAGGAGGATTTTTGCTTTGGAAGGTGAAAGGGTTTGTTAAACGCTGAATTGGAGAAATTTATAAGAAGCTTGGTTTCAATGAGACGGTGGAGTTACCAGAGAAACACAAGCCAGTGAGGAGGTTAATTCTGTGATTGCCCAGGACAGATAACAGGGAATAACTTCTTCAGAAAGAAGAAACTAAGAGAATACGATTATAAACGCGAGCTTATTTTTTTTGTTTAGATCAGGGGCGCTGAATGAGATTTTTAATCGGCTGTGCTTCCCTTTTGCTTGCCCTTGTGATGAAGAAACGGAGAAAAGAAGCACCTGTGTCGCTGAAAGACGACATTTTGGAGACGGTTCTCACACTAGTGACTGCATGCTCTGCTGTTTGCATGTCATGGAACGCCATCATCGGCGATCCATCCTTTTGCAGTGCCCACAAGGAATCTTTGCGTCTTATGACTAGCTCCTTCCCCCACGGCGAGCATTGCCATGCCTGGGATCCATCACAGCGTGGAGTCTCTGTTGCCCCACAAAACGGAAGAATATCCTCGCGCTCAAGTCGTTACTGGCCTGGTATGCATCTCAGGACGCACAAGGGCATGGTTGATCCCTCTGATGATGTGTTTCACCTGGTGGTGGGGAATCCACTGACCCAAGAGTTACAGAATCAACTTTGCCATGGTCGTCGACAAGAATGGCTTCAAAGTCGGTCTGCACTACACCGCTGTCGACTTCTCAGGCCACTGGTGCTGCATCTACGACTCGGCAATGCGCTCGTGGTCTTCTCTCCCCAAGCTCCCGTTCTCGCCAGCCTACGTCAAGGTGAAGGCGTGGACGTGGCACCCCTTGCTGTGGGATTTTACAACTTCGGCCACGCCAGGTGGAGCACCGGGGAAGTTGTGCGCAGCCTGAGGATTACAACGGGCCTGGAAGACAAGGTTGACCCAGCTGGAAAGAAACAGCTAAGAAACTCTGGAAAGACGTCTCAACCAAAAAATGGTTGACAAACAATGTTGTGAGACAGATTTCAAGACCATACTCCAAGGCAAAGATGAGTAGGAAACAAATTTGCGTTTCCATCGATCTCTTGGGTCACTTGCATCTCAGCGCATTGCCTGTCCCGGTAGTACACAATGCAAGGATCTCGCTCGTGCACAACAATCCCCAAAGCAACCTTTGCCCCACCTTGCTGGCTAACCAGCACCTCCATATCATTGAAAACACAAAACGATGGAAAAGTCCCGAAACATCTAGACATGAGTAATGGCCTGTCTGGACTGAATAAGGCAGCCAACTGACCCACCCCTACTTTGTACCTCCCTAAGCTATGAATGGACCAAGCAACTTGGCCGTAATTAAAACAAGTATCAAAGATACACATAAGCAAGAGCCATATGAGGCAGGCTGAAACAACAATGCAATTGAAGAATGCATAGCAATTTGATCAACACTGAATGAATAATGAGAAGGAAAGGAAAGAAACTTATCTCTTATGAGAATCATAGTGTGGACATTCCTGTAATCTGACATCCCCACATGAATCACATTTCTCAAGATAGTTGCAAAATGCTGTGCTCCCAACACAATGTCGGACCTCTTCATTGCAAAAGTGCAAAACACTTCATGCATATGTGTTAAAGGTTGGACGAAAAAAGAAATATCAAATACCAAATGTAGGAATTGAAACAAGAAGGAACCTGCTTAGAGAAAATACCTCTTGAGATGATTACCCTGATTGGATTCAACAATTTTGAACCTGTAAGCTCTGCAAGCCAGTAGGAGTTTGTCCCTGCGCTCCCAAAGACTTGATACAGGGAGGTTGAAACTTCACTCTATGGTGTGAAGCATGCCAAACAACATCATATGGGAGGAAGCTTTCACCACATTGCTTCACATGCATCAGAGCAGTGTGACATTAATGAATCTGAACACAAACAGCTGCAATATCTAAATCCTCATCCAGCTGATCTGTGCAATTGGTGTGAAGATCCTGTGATATCCCAACAATTGTAGTGGGATCCACTTCCTAAAAGGAGATATGGTAGGAAGGTAAACAAAGTTGCATGGGGAGAATTGCTTCCACCAATTGGAATGGAGGGAGTTTCTCTATTGTCTGGGTTTTTAAAGGTGATCCATTACAGTCCAACAAGCAGCAAGAATTTAAATATGACCTCTATGCTACTAGTATTGAAAGTTTTCCTTCGCTAATCTTCACAATGCTTGTCCTACTACAAGAACAGCAAACTAATAGGGGAAAAAATCCAAGGATAAAGAAGTGTTATGAAGAATCAGAAAACATTCTTCTGCCATTGCCACATGTTGATCTGATGTTTTTGTGCATGCTTGCTACATTAGAAGCTTCGGAATCCTTAAATGGCGCTTGCAGTGATTCCCATTACGCAAGATCCAGATGCCAAGCAAAACACAAGATGTAGAAAATAATTTCCAGCCACTTAGCAGCATAGACTTCACTGCTTTGGCAGTCGCAGAAGTGTTACAATCCACAACTTATGCCAGTGCCAGAGGCTGCGAGCAATGCAAAATGCTGAAACAGCACAGCAACAATAGTCTACAAGTGTCAGAGTCAAAAGATTTATTGTGACTTTTTACCAAAATGTAACTCCTCTTTTTTTCTTCTTACTCTTTTGGTTGGGCTTAAACTTTACATGGCTTTTCATGTTGTGCAGGGCCATGTGGACTCAGAGGAAAGCTGATACTAGATGGGACGAAAATCTTAATGATGGAAAGAGTAAATTGAAATTACTACATTTTGACAGACCCCATAAGATTAGGGTGTGGGTCATGGAAAAACAAGAGAGCATCTGGGATGACGGCGAGGAGCGCTTGCGGGATCTTTGCGGGCCTGACTATGAGCGCCTTCAGCGGCAAGGCTATTCGGCCTCCAGGTTGTGGACGGCCGATTTTCGTGAGCTTTTCCCCTTGTTTCCAGGAAATCTTAATCTCGCATGGCAAATATATGTGCAGTTCAACTGTAAGTTCTTTCGCTGTTTCTTTAGGCTACTGTTCTTTTTGCATTTACTGTGCAGTAGTGGCTAGCGGCGGCAAGATCATGGACCTAGTGGCAAAGAAAGAAACACGAGACCCCAAGCTGCTACAGTGGATAAAGGAGAGGTTGGAGTATGTTTCGTGCAGTGGCTGCGTCAATGTGAAAGGCTCCTCATGGAGAAGCCGATAGGTGAAAGTTCTGTGTTCTGAAACTACAAAAGATTAAGCACAAGATTTTGTGTTTAGATGTATATGACTACCTGTAAATTTTATGATTTTTACCTTTGTGTCATAAGTATATTGTAAATAACCAAAAGGAACAATTCAATAAACAATTTATAAAAAAGGCTTATGAATAGGAGTGCACTTTTTTTTTCAATTGGTTAAAAGTTTTGGGATACTTAAGGTTAAGTTTTCTTTAATTTGAATAGTATTGGGTAACCTCATGAGAAGTCCAAATTCAAGAGTTTATATTTGGCATAAAAAAAATCTTATATCCAATTCTTTTGGTTGGCTATGGGAATCACACCACATGTTGAGATTGAAATTAATTTTCATCTAGGCTCGACCTAAGGGGGTGTCAAGTAGAGAGAATTGTAATTCTTAACTTTTATTCACAGGGCATGAGCTTATAGAGAAGCATGATAAATTATAAACAACCAAAATAAATGATTTAAAAGATAATTTATAGGGGTTTAAATATAAAGGGATATGACTTATAAAGAAGAGTGCACCCCTTTTTTCAATCAGTTACTTAGTATTGAGCTAAGTAACTTGTAATGAGTTACTAAAGGTATAATGTTTCATTAAAAATTTGAACTCAATAGAGGTGAGCAGTTCAAAAAGCATTTGAGGCTAGAAGAATGGAGATGGTAATAAGGTCAAGAAGTTTTGTTTGGACCATAAAGCAAAGGGCAATTGTTTTCATTATTACAAAGTTAAACATTAATGCAAGGATTTTCTTTTTGTGAAGAGTTTAGAGAATGCTAAAATAAATATGGTGGAATCCATTGTATATAAACATTCACATTATGTGGTTAAAGTTCAAGAACCAAAGTCTCAAGTTCATAGCAACTCTATAAAACTTAATGATTCTATGTGCAATCAACTTGTGAAGGCCAAGGAAAACATTCAAGGTAGTGATGTTAGAATTGTTTTTAATCCAGATATTACATACAACTTTTTAAGCTCTAATGTGGTAAAGAAAAACTTGGTTTATCTATGAAAAAGATCTATGAGGTGGTTATAGTTGTTAGATATAACACTTATATTTATAGTAAATTAGCTTTGAGTGTTCTTTGACAATTTAAAGGATCTTAATTATCCTTTATTCTAGTTCTAAATGTATTGTAGAGATAATGGTTGAAAGCATAGCCAACCACTTAAGATATTAAATTAACTCTTATATAGCTCTTTGTTTGGTGTCAAGTTTGGATTTAAGCCCAAGCTTTATATTATTCTAGCTAATGAGGTATTGATATGCTTAAATTTTGCTAAACTCCATGTAATATTGTTTTATATATAAATTGTATATAAGGAGCTAGTGATCAGAGAAGATTTTGAGTATGTACCAAACCTTTATTTTATAATGCAACGAACTCAAAGTTATAAGCAGGTAAAAAGTAGCAGACATTACTTTTGTTTTTTGAAAAACTTCTTGGCACACAGGCTAGAGGAGAAGGAGAACGCTCAAAAGGATGAGAAGTATTCATATGCTGTATGTGGTGGTAGTCGCCTTGCTCTCGTCACACTACGCTTGGTCACCAGCAGTTTGCCATAGCTAGCTATGGAAGGCCAAGAACAAGCTCCGGCTACCGAATTCTGGATGCTCCAAATGGCTATCAGCTCAATGCGCTACTTGGGCTGCCTCGCCTCCACCAGGTCCTTCAAACGACAACGAAGACACTATTGCTTGATGCTGCGCAGCGGAGATGTTAGCTTTACTGGGTGGAAGTGAGGCGGAAAAATCAGTGACAGAATCTCGAGCTCAGGAGCTTCTGTCGTCCATTCGCTTTCTAGTTCCACCAACTCTGAGAAGCTCGTCATACCGGTCCACGGGAGTTTCTCGAGTGGAAAAGCCAGATTCCAAGGAGCGAATGTGGAGGTTGATAAGGGAACCTCCGGCTTCTGTTGCGAACTTAGCCAGGAAGTCCGTGGAATGGGCTGGGGAGCCTGACGCTATACTAGCGGAGCTGGATTCGGCACTTCACAAAGAAGTTGGTATTTTCCCTTCGAAACTTCAGCTGAAATTTTCGCCAGGTCCCCGATGTTGAGAATTCGAACGCTAGCAAGTGCGTGCTTACCAAGCACGATTGTTCCAAGCGTTTTGTTGATCAGGTTCGTTGAAGATACAGCGCACTCTTAACTATGTGTGGCTTGCAGGAAATCAACTCGTACATGGCACTCTTATTTGAAGCAATTGTTGCTCTAGCTCCCTTGGCAGGTTTTAACGTTTCTGTAAACCACTACGATCTTTTCCATGGCCACATGTTTACTGCTTACGGCACTGGAAGGCTCGGTATTCTGTAAGCTTGCCTGCTCAAACGCTAGTCACCATAACTGAATGTTTGTAACTTTGCAGGTTTCATTGTCGAGAGTACCCCGAGTATGACAAGAACAGCTTTGCCTTGAACCTCGGCTATTGCCAAACGGGTAAGCGAATGCCTCAATGCAGCGCCTTACAGCATTTGACAGGATCATTCATTCCTTACGACAGCAGCATGAACTTAAGAAACATTATCTGGCTTGCGCCAATGCCGTCGTGTACCAGCCACAATTGCTCGACTAAATGGCTCGCACCAGGTAACTCTTGGACTGCAAATATACTAACATCGATCAAAATTTGCTTGAACTCGTTGCAGGTGCGCTCTTCATCTTGGATGCCAAGCCTGGTGGCGTTGTGTTTAAGGAGCTCGTTTCGGAATGGGTTGATGTGGTCAGAACCATCTACGAGAGTAAGTGTGTTTGCGTTCCTAGCTGATAGATTCACCGCACTGTGTCTCTTTATTTTTGTTTCAGGCGATTTTGGGAGAACTGTGATTGATGTTAATTATTTCAACGTGGATGGTTGTCAAATCTTCCTCACATAGTTGTATTGCCATGAGCATTGATGCCGATTTGGAAGAGCATTTGTTTGCTTTCATGTTGATGATGCAGCATTGTGAAGGTACCATGAGTGAAAAACCACAGCAAAAGTGAAGATTTTTCCCATGAAGTTAGTGGGTATTTGGTCTAGTGCAAGACCGGTCTGCTAAAACAGGAGCTTCTTGCGGTTCCAAGCGTCTTGTTGTTGGCTATGACCCCTCCATACCAGGCAAACACCGAGTACTAAGCAGGAATCTCTCTGCGTCTTCCAGCTTTCGCTATACATTAGTAGCGCATTTCTCACGGTGGAGCGCGAGTCAGCTCCCACCTCAAATGTACAACCTCCACACTCGAACAAGCTGCTTACGGGCAGAGCCCTGGACCGTTGGACACGCACCCCGATCAACCTGGCCGCAGTGCCTTACGACTGCCGCCCACACCAAATGAATGCTAACGCGAGAAAGAGAAAAATTATTGCTCCGTTCTTTACGCAAGGGTTCAATCTTTCTCCATTGTCAACTCCTTTAGGCCCTCTTTTGACAATGCAGGCAGGTCTTGGTGATGAAGATGACAATCTGGAGACAGTTCTCAGTTTTGTGGACTTGGCCACACTTTGTGGGTGCTCTGTTGTTCAGAAGTCATGGAAGTCCATCATCAGCAATCCAACATTTCGCCTCCGCTGGTGTCAAAACAGTGGTGAGAAGGAAACCTTTGACTAGCTCTGTCTGCGAAACCCACCACATTTTCGCCTTGAGTCCATCATGGCCAACCCACCATTACCTGCAGATGCAACAACTTCAATAACCGATGGAGGCAATGAAAACTCAGGGCTTGGTATGCAGCCTACCCCCAGCTGAAACACATCCTCAGAGCGATCCAAGCCTTGCATGGGCTCCATCCAGTGACCTCAGAGTGGAGCCAACTACTACCTTTCCATTGGGGAGACATGCAAGCAAGTAGGAGTTTGTCCCTGTGCTCCCAAAGACTTGATACAGGGAGGTTGAAACTTCACTCTATGGTGCAAAGCATTAAGGTGCCAAACAACATCACATGGGAGGAAGTTTTCACCTCATTGCTTCGCATGCATCAAAGCAGTGTGAATCTGAATACAAATGGCTGCAATATCTAGATCCTCATCCAGCTGATCTGTGCAATTGGCGTGAAGATCCTGTGATGTCCCAACAATTGTAGTGGGATCCACTTCCTAAAAGGAGATATGGTAGGAAGGTAAACAAAGTTGCATGGGGAGAATTGCTTTCAAACTACACACCAATTGGAATGGAGGGAGCTTCTTTGTTGTCCGAGTTTTTGAAGGTGATCCATTATGTTAAATTAGTGATGGTATTTTAGTTCTTTGAGAGTTTGCTCATTGAAGTTTTGAAAAAGTTGTAACATTCATTCACTATAACATATCCATTAACACTTAGAATAAATTGTTGGATAGATAAGAATCAATCTTTACTACAGTCTAGCAAGTAGCAAGAATTTAAATATGACTTTTATGCTATTATTATTGAAAGTTTTACTTTGCTAATCCTCACAATGCTTGTCCTATATGGTCAGAAAGGGATTTAGTGGGGACCAGAAAAGAGATATTGAGGAAAGCTATTCCCCATGTCTGTGGGCATCCAAAAGATGTTAAGGAGTGGATCCTATTACAAGAAGAACAGCAAACTAATAGGGGAAAAAATCCAAGGATGAAGAAATGTCATGCAGAATCAGAAAACATTCTTCTACCATTGCCACATGTTGATCTGATGTTTTTGTTATTGTACATACTTGCTACATTAGAAGCTTCAGAATCCTTAAATGGTGCTTGCAGTGATTCCCATTACTCGAGATCCAGATGCCAAGCAAAACACAAGATGTAGAAAATAATTTCCAGCCACTTAGAAGTATATACTTCACTGCTTTGGCAATTGCAGAAGTGGTACAATTCACAACTTATGCCAGTGCCAGAGGCTGCGAGCAATGCAAAATGCTGAAATAGCACAGCAAAAATAGTCTACTTCGAGCAGTACAGAGTCAAAAGATATATTGTGACCTTTTACCAAAATGTAACTCCTCTTTTTTCTTACTCTTTTGGTTGGGCTTAAACTTTATATGGCTTTTCATGTTGTGCATGTGAACTCAGAGGAAAGCTGATACTAGATGGGACGAAAATTTTAATGATGAAAGAGTAAATTGAAATTACTATATTTTGACAGACCCCGCCTGGGAAAAAGGTGTTCTAGGGTTTAATGGAGAGCGTCTGCGATGACGGCGAGGAGCGCTTGCGGGATCTTTGCGGGCCTGACTATGAGCGCCTTCAGCGGCAAGGCTATTCGGCCTCCAGGTTGTGGACGGCCGATGTAGATGAGGTTTTGCCCTTGTTTCCAGGAAATCTTGATCTCGCATGCCGGATATATGCGCTGTTCAACTGTAAGTTCTTTCGCTGTTCCTTTAGGCTACTGTTCTTTTTGCATTTCCTGTGCAGTAGCGGCTCGCTCCGACACGATAAGCGACCTAGTGGCAAAGAAAGAAACACGAGACCCCAAGCTGCTACAGTGGATAAAGGAGAGGTTGGAGTATGTTTCGTGCGAGTGGCTGCGTCAATGTGAAAGGCTCCTCATGCAGAAGCCGATAGGTGAAAGTTCAGTGTTCTTGTCTGGTGCTCGAGTATTCTTTTGCTTGTGCCTGTGCAGAGAACACTAGGCCTGATCGTGATCGTTTGTGGCACGAGATTAATACGGAAGTGGCGATGAAATCGTTACGGAGGGAGTACGTTGGGGAGGCCCATAAGATATTGTACAAGGAGCTGTGTAAGTTGAGGAACGAATGCTCAAAGAGTAAGTCTTGAATTCTTCTGTTATTGTGGCTTATAGCACTGGCTATTGTGTAGACCAGCACTACAGCTGCTATACCTCCATAGTACAGGGTTCTGGCACGGGGAAAACACGCGGGGTGATGCAGATGTCGCGCCTGGGAGTGTATATTTGCTATTGCAGCACGGCGGCAGCAAACAGTAGCGCCTGTCCTCCTCGAACTGGGGAGCTTGCCAACCAGCTCAGCCGAACGAACAGCGAGTTGGAGATGGCGCTATACTTCAAAGCGTGGCTTTTTGTCCTCCATGAGATGGTGAAGGGTGCGAAGATGAGCTCAGTGCAGTGGATGGATTCACAGATGCATTCGTCCAGTATTGCGGAGGCCGTGCACAAGAAATGGCTTGAGTTGATCAACAGCACAGCTGTAGAGAAAATTAGTGAGTCACCGGATGACAGGAACGAGAAACTACTCCAGCGAGAGTTTGAAAACTTGAAGGATGTACTGCCGGAAGAGGGGGAGGTGCAGGTGCTTTTTGTTTTTGATGAAGGTCGCGGTCTCTTACCGAATGGGGAAAGCACCTTCAGTATGGCACAATCGCCGTTTTACCAGATGAGGCGAGTGGCGAGAGCTTTCTTCACACACAAGAAATACTTTGCAGTTGTCATTGATACGATGTGGAGTATCAGTAATCTGCAGCACGAGGACCAGTCGAGGGAAGCTAATATCCTGGGACGGCACGAGGACCAGTCGAGGAAAGGTAATATCCTGGGTTTGCGGCTTTTAAGGCCTATTCATCAGGTGGTGAATATGGACCTTGTTCCTCGGACTACGGATTTGTCTCCAGCTCAGTTGTTCAGGTATGGAAGGCCCCTATGGAGTAGCCGCCTTGACAGCAATCCAAATGTGTGGAGCCTCCTCGATCTTGCGGAAGCCAAGCTGGTTGGGGTGCTGCACGGGGACTTTCAGGGGCAAGCTGTGGACGTTTGTGGTTCTACCGGAAAGGTACAGATGGCTGAGAGCCAAGCGTTGGCCTTGCTTTCAGCATCAGCGGGCCTGGAGATATGCCCGCGGAGTGCGCAAAGCCAGCTTCTTGTCGCTTCTCACATGAGTATCCTTACGTTCATCTCCCTCGATCGTACGAGAGTGCATATCAGTCAGCCCGTGGAGCCCGTTGTGAGTGAAGCGGCCGCTAGGATTCTCAACCGCAAGAGTGGCGAGCCTCTAGAAGTTGCTCTAGGGCTGTTCCTGAACGGCTGCTACAATGGGTATGTGGATGCTGGACATCGGGGGGAATTCATAGTGAAGCTCATCTTGCTGCAAGCTTGTTGGAGCTTGTACAAGGGTGAATACTACCTACGCCGCATTCCTCTCCGGGATTATATCGGACGATTGCTGGGCTGGGAGGAGGCACAGGTTGACGAGGCATGCAGCGGCCTGGATGAATCCGCTGCCGTCTTTTTTAACAGTTTTATGCTGGTTATGCAGGGGCAGTTGACACCCGAGATATTGGCAGCTGCGTTCATGAGAGGCTGTGCAATCATGTACAAAGCCAACAATAACGTCCGAGGTTATGACATTGTTATTCCGGTCTGGACTTCCTTGGGGATGACTGCGCTGCTCGTTTCGGGTTGAGAACAGTAGAAAGTGTGGGTGGCTCAACAAAGCTTCTACGACTGTGTTGAGGCCGAGGCTCATGCAAGTCTCAGGAATCGAAATCAAAGTGGTGACGGTCCTCATTAATGTCCAAGAACCAAAACATAAAGAGCCAGTGCCAACAAAGTTATGGAAGAAGGATGAGATGCATAAGTCTTACTTGCAGGGTGACGAAGCTTATGGCAAGAAAACGGAGCCTGTTGTGCACATAACAGTTTATGGTCTCGAACGCAACTTTCGTTTCCTTGGCGCTGAGACGAAGAGACTTCTAGCTGAAGTTTCAATTGCAGTGCCGGATACGGAGGTGGAGGCTGGAAAGCAATCAGAGGAAGCGAAATCATGGCTCCATTTGCTGCTTCCTGACACGTATAAGCTTCCAATTCCAAACGTCTCTGACATTAAGGAGCTTGGTAAGACACATTCGTGATACGCTATTCCCATGATATCATGATGTTTACAGGTGATCCGCGACAGAAGCGCCCAATAGATGCCACAGAAAAGTTTGCGGATGATTTGCGACAGAAACGCCCAAAAGTTGCCTGAGAAAAGCAAGATCGT